TGTTCCAGAGCTGAAAAGGGAGAGCCCCTATTCTGACAGCCACTTTGCATGAACTATGTTCTGCTTTGGCCTCATGCATACACTCTCACATTTGTTCCCCTGAGATATCTAAGTACCTCAGAGTTCTTTAGTAGTCATGAGACACAAGAGAATTGCTTCAGAACAAGAAGAGTCAATGCAAACCCTTGCTATGGATTATTCAGATACTGACAGTGACTCTACTTTGGGATACAGCGATGATGAAGATTCCAGTGATGAAGTCCAAGGAATATCAGAGTCAGTGCACAGAAAACTGTTTGCAAATATTTGGGGATTTTTTCATACTCTATAATTTCATTGAAAGGAATTTCTAACTCCTCCAAAGATGCTTAAAAAGAGACCACTACTAAACTGCATAGCTTTGACTGTTATTATTTGTTAATCAATAGAAAGTTTCTGAAACTATTTGTTAATCTGCCAAACAGTAGCTCCTTTTGCAATAATACATGTTTATTAATTGTCATGCTGAAAACAATTATATACAGGCCAGAACAGGATGAATGAGATTTTATTTTTAAAGATAATGTGCATGTTAAACCTGGACTGTTATACAGATACACATACATTTATGTATTATAAAGGTACAAGCCTAGTGTACTGAGCAAACAGAGGCAGCATGTGAACAGTGAAAGTTTGTAACGAAATAGATCTGGCATTATCTTATTAATATATAAAATTCTTTCACAGTCAATCTTTTTCAAAGTTTTGTATATTCTGTTTTTAGAAGCTATTAAAGTAGTTAGGTAATACTCCAAGTCAGGCATAGCTAATGTGTGCTAATGAAATACATATCTAGGCTGTCCTCAAAGGCATGTTCTTTTCACAACAGTATAATGTTTATGTGCTCGGTTATCAGAGTTTAATGTGACAAAAATTCTAAATTCTAAATACCCTGATTTGCCAAACAGTAAAACTTGGAAAAAAGAAAGAAAAAAAGGAAGAAAGAAAGAAAGAAATCTCAACTTTTAAAAATAATACAATCCTGCTTTTCTTTTTCCCATGTCTAAACTAGTATTACTGAAACCCGTGCTAACTTAGGTAATGTTCTGTGTGAAATCAATATGATAATAGTTATGTATGTTTAGAAATGTTCAATGAAATCACAGATTTTTAGGACCTCTGCATTTTATAAATGTGTGATATTTCCTATCTAAATCCAAATGGTATTTGCTTTTACCATGGCCCTTGGACCACAAAGGATATAAACATACCAAATAATCACAGAATTGGCAGTTTGCATCAATAATATTCTTTCATTAGAAGTTTCCCTACCCTACTCCTAACATGACATATATATCTTAAAACTAGATTTTCAGAAAAAATCTCTCACAGTGCACAGGGATACAATTTTTAGACACCTGCATAAAGAAACATCAAGACATTAAGCACCTTAATAGTAGAAATACAATGATATTGCAGGGTCAACATTAGGTCAGTGCAGAATGGGCTTGGCATTCAGTAATTTTCTATTGTTATGTAACAATATTATAAAGCAACATAGCAGACTAAGACATAATCATGTATAGGAATTCTGATAAGCTGAAAATCAAAATGGCTCATCAGATTCATTTTGCAGTTAGGCACCCATAAGTATATTAGTGCTGATTTTATTAACAATTAAATACCATTTTTATAATGGTAGACATTATGACTATTGCCCCAAATTTATTCTGCATTTTAATAAATTTAGATTTTTTTTCAAATTAAACTCTATAGAGGAACATAAAAACAGTGTACTGTTGTGGAAAGAACTAATTTTGAACACAGATCTGTATTCAAATCCTAGGGCTGCATATATTAGCTATGCCTGACTTCCAGTATATTACCTAATCTCTAGCCTCACATATTCAGTTTGTTATATGGTATAAATGGGATTTTTGTGAACTGCTTAATATAGTTACTGACATATGCTAGATGCATAGTAAGTGGCAGATATAAAATTCCCTACAAATATTTAATTTATTGCCTTTAACCAGTGTTATGCTTTTAGCATATATATATATATATATATATATATATATATATATATATATATATCATTTTAATGTATTAAGCTAGTTAATGTAGTAAGGTGATTTTAGCCCATACTTATATTACGTTTCTATTGATTAAAGCGTTCTTCTGATCTTTGATTTTTTTTCTCATCTGTTTTATAATATTGATATTTTTTTGTTTCAAGGAAATTACATTCCATTTTTAAAGTATACTCAATTTAGGCCAGATAATATAATAAAATCTTAAAATATTGGATATTTGTGATAGATACATTAAAAATTTATATGCACAGAATATATGTTTAAATGAGGCATATTTGTGTATGTTTTTTTTTTTTAACTCTGGACAATTTCTAACTAGTCAAGGTGAAAATATAGTTATAGAAAGCAAGTTTTAATATGATCTCTATAAAAGGATATTAATGTTTTTATTGTTTTTGTGTTTAGGTTAGCAGCAATTTTTAGTAACTTATGCCACCATAAATAACATTCTAAGAAATAAATCATTCACACAATTTATGAAAAACTTGGTGGGCATTACTGATGTTTTCTGCCTGTAGTGTTTACCAAAAATTCAAACTAAGAAAGTCATAATGGTTGGAAATACATTGTCTAATGCTATGAAGCAAAAAGAAAAATCTCCACTTTAGTCTTGGGTAGGAATGTTCTTATAAAACACCAAACAGAGCCTCCATAAGGGCTATCATGATAGATAATGTTGGAGATGAGAAGAATTAGAAATATTAAACAGTAGGCCACACTTCTTTCTGTGTACCTAGCACAATGACATACTTATTTTTGGTGATCTCATTTAATTTCATGCAGTGAATGGGGCACTCATATCATCTCTAGTTTATAGACAAGGACACTGAGGCTTACATAGGTTGTGATTCCAGATCCTCAACTCTGCTTCACTGCGCCAGACCTCAGGAATATGATATTCATACCATTCTTGAAGCAAACACTTTTAGTACCTCCTTTGTGTCAGGTATTTGAGATAAAATAGGAAATAAAACTAGCCATGGTCCCTGCCCTAACATTGTCTAGTGGGAGAGAGAGAGAGGTACTAACGAAATGAACACATAAGTAAATGTATAAATTAAAAATGGTGATAGTTGCTTGCATATAGAGATAGGTAGGGTGATAAGAAGAAGTAAACAGGGAATCTGACCTAGTTAATTCAGGATGGCATCCCCTAGGAAAAGGCATTTCTCCTGAAATCTAAAGGATAAGCTGGAGTGAACTAGACAGACAGCTGGAGAGGAGTTTTGTAGGCCTAGTTATGAAAAACTCATGGCAGGAGGGAGGTGATGTGTTTGCCATTGAAAGGAGGCCAATTTGGCTGCAAGGCAGAGAATGTGAGGGAGGCAGTAGGAGGACCATACTGGGAGTCGATGAGGCTATAATAAAAATTTTAAAGTCAAGACAGAGTTTAGTATCATGGATGGATTAAGAAATGTACCCTAATTGAGAGATTTTTTTCTTTAATAACATAACCATTGAGAAACGAATCAAAAAAGAGTGTCACTTATAGAGAAACATGATATGAAACACCTAATAATACTTTTTCATTAAATGTCAGGACCTAAAAGGAAAAAAATTGTGCAATCTTATTTAAAGATATAAAACTGTACTGAAAAAGTAGAAAGTCATGCCATCTTCTTTCATGGAAAAATTAATGTCACCAGAAAGTCTTTCTTCTTAAAATAATGTATAAATATAATATGAATCTACCAGAAGCTCAATATGGGTTTCTTGAGAAGTAGAAAGATTAAAGTCTATTTGAAATGACAAATGCTAGTACTGTCAAGATATTTTTTTTAAAAGTATATAAGTGATGGGGAACTGGCTTTACCAAATATTAAATACTGATTGTTTCTATGTTTCTTTAAAGCAAATATAACCTTACCATCTTGGTATAGCAACAATGAAATATGGTAAAAATACAGAAAAATACAGAATTCAGAAGTATATGTAAAATTTTAAAAAATGTAAAAACTCACTGGAATCATTTAAAAGTCTGTTATTAGAGACATGTTTTATGACTCTTAGAATAAAATTATTAATACTATATTGTTGGTACTTATTTGTTTATATTTATTGTATGTACTTGTTTCTGTAATGTATTTCAAACATATTTATCATTAATTATATTTGCATAGGAATTTTTTATCTTAGGAAAATAGTGCATTTTCATTATAATTTAATATTATCATTACAATAATGCAATGACATTTTTAGTGGCTGAAAATAATTGTAGATATTGATTTATCACATTCACCTTTGACTACTGGATAAAACAGGAAATATGGCAGATTTTTAAAGGTCAAAGAGGTTGATAAATTACTGCAGTGACAAATGAAACAGTTTTTGTATACTTCAATTGGTGTGACTAAGATTTTTCGAATACTCTTGAAGAACCATAAGCTCTGTAATGGATGAAGAGCTGTGTGTCATAAATTGCCAAATAGTTAGATACATAAAAGCAGGGTCTCTAAAGCAGTGAAATAATTAAAACAGATCCATTGTTCTCAAGGTAACAATGACAAATTCATACATGAGTGGATTAGATACTCAATTTCCAGAAGTATATCTTCAGATGCTTTAAAAACTTTCATCTATTCATGCCCATTATTATCTTTGTCATCATCCAATTAATTCATGAATTCCCCAAAGAGCAAAGGGAATGAGGATATACAATGCTGTTCCACTTGTGTAAGTAAAACTCGAAATTTAAAAATTTTAATAACTGGATTTTAACTACAGAATTTGCACGATTAATGACAAGGATGCAGTGGTTCTTTAAGACAAAGAAATCTGTAACATGAACAAAGCTTAAAGTTGAAAGTGACTGAATCAGAAGAGTTTATATAATTTAGTATGTTTCCTGAATGAATCACAATGGACAATTTTCCTTGATATTAAAGGTTGTTCTATCCTAATGTCTCTCTATATTTTTTTATACAGGGAAGACGTGAGAACAGCAAACGTCATTGCCGCAGAAGCCGTAACCTGCCTTGTGATTGACAGAGAGTAAGTACATTCCTGTACTAAGCATATTGCACATTCATATCAGCAACATACATATGTGTTGGGAATTAGGTACCATTTTATGAAGCTATTAATATCATATGTTTTAAATTTTAATTGAGTTCTATATTTTATTCTTATTCCATATTATTCTTGGAAGTTCCTAACTCTGCCATTTAGCTTTGTGATTTTAAATAAGGTTTTTAATCATGCTGAACCTCACCTTAGTTAGCTCATTATTTGAGAGACAGTTTGAGGATAACTGATGACATGTGATTAAAGTATTTGTCAAAATTCCTTTTCTTTAGAAGGTACTCAACTAATACCAGCTATTTAGGTAAATTTTTTGAAGAATAATTCTTATTGTCATTAAAAAGTGGGCTATTCCTTTAGCATGTGTATATTATCTGCTCTGTTCTCCCATTCAGAGACTCCAATACTAGAAGCATTTAGAAAGACACTTTTGGAGAAAGCTTCAGTGTTAGACATGGACATATATATTTAGAAACATCAAAAGTGTGTTTCATGATGCCTATCCATGTTTCTCCTACCCATTCAGGCTTGCTGTTATCACTACCTGAATGCTAAACCACAGAAATGAGATTATTGACTTTTCAAGAACACACTTGGACATATATACTAGGTAAACCCACTTGGGCACTTTTACTCATGGCAGTGTAGGTGGGTAAGTTTACAGAAAAGCTGAGTGGCTGACCCAAAGAGAATTGTAAAACAGGCAATGAACTTCTATGTGGATGAAACTGAGGGAACAGATATCATATGCCAAGATGATGGAGTTAGATGCTGAGTGCAAGGGTCACTGGGTGGAGAACAATCCCACTGGATTCACGAATCTTACTTTTGAGGCCCCTCTGTGCTGATTCCTTAGAATCAAAGAAATGAGGCAAATACCAAATGATAGTAATTTCTATGAATACCTCAGAAGCAGTTTTTCTTTGTTTCCCTTGTTCCACATTTATCCATTCATGTATTCTTCTATTAGACTCATGCTTTATTGGAGCATTATTATACTCAGAGAAGTTTCAAAAGTATACTACAGATATCATTTTGGGGTTAGCCTCTACTAGAGATGATGTACATACAAAATATAACCATCATGTGATCTTCCTAATCATCATGTAAGGAAGAAGTAAGAAGAGTTCAGAATAAACTTTTAAAGGTATCCAAAATGAGGAGTGGCTACTTCTGAGGAGAATCAGAAAGACTTTGGAAAGAAGTGGCATTATTACTTGAATTCTAAAGCATTAGGAAAGACAGTATAAACACACTGAAGTCTATTAGCACTATTCATGAGGAAGCTCTGAGCCACTTAACTGGCCAGTGAGATTGTGGAAAGTTGAGAAATGTAACAAATAAGTTCACAAGTATGTCTGGACTCACCAGGAGCTCTGAATGTTGGGATAATGGCAGCTCTGACAATTTTATGTGGTGAAATAGTGTCTCTACAACAATGTATATGGTAGGCTAATCTGAAAATGCTGTGAGAGAGAATTAAAGGAAGAGGCTGAAGATAGAGTATCTGGTTAGTTGCCTAAATCCAGTTGGTGATCATGAGACCATTTATATGAGGAATGTATAATAATGAATAGGTAAAACCAGAGGGCTTAGCATCACACTATCTGTAAAGAGCAAGGGGAAAATTAGGGATATCGTTGAGGCAGTGAAAGGTAGAAAGAATATAGAAGGAGAATCTGTTTGGGAGTCACAACCATATTAAATACAGTAAGACTATAATTAATTTGAGGTACAACTTTGGACCCCTGAGGATAGACACTCTTCAGGGGTTAGGAAAGGTGGACCAGGAACTCTTGTTAGAGTTAACTCCATATTATTAGCTTAAAAGTCACCTACATGTTAATAGCCTACATGTTAATATGGAACTACCCTGGAAGAACGAAAAAGAAAAAAAGTATTAAGTTTAGAATTAGGGGAAATTGGGCTGGGGATGTGGTTCACACGGTAGCGTGCTCACCTGGCATGCGTGCGGCCCGGGTTCGATCCTCAGCACCACATACAAACAAAGATGTTGTGTCCGCCGAGAACTAAAAAATAAATATTAAAAAAAAAATTCTCTCTCTCTCTCTCTCTCTCACTCACTCTCTCTTAAAAAAAAAGAATTAGGGGAAATTCTTTCACTTAAAGTCAGGCTGGGCACTGTGACACATGCCTATAATCCCAGTAGATTGGGAGGCTGAGTCAGGAAGATCACAAGTTCAAAGCCAGCCTCAGCAATTTAGTGAAGCCCTAAACAACCCAGTGAGATCTTGTCTAAAGGAAAATATAAAAAGGAGTAGGGATATGGCTCAGTGGTTAAACACTCATGGCTGCAATCCCCAGTCAAAAAAGAAAAAAGTCAGGTAAGGGAAGAGAAAACAGTGGAAAAAAATTCAAGGCATTATCTACCGAACAACATGGAAAACCTCAGAAACCAAGAGAATATTTCTCTCTCTCTCTTCCCCCCCCTCTCTCTCTCTCTCTCACACACACACACACACACACACACACACATTAAATGTCTAGTTTAAAGAAACAGAAAATTGGTGAAATAAAAAATCATATCCAAGATTCTAGGAAAGCAGTATACAAAAACAAGGTTGTATCACCTGAGGAGGATGTAATCTCCTCATGGCTGGCTCCTCAAAAACCCAGATACTAAGTCATAGTTAGAAAAAGAAATCCTGATGTACTATTGCACAGTAGGTTGACTATAGATAATTATGTACTATATATCTCTAAAACAGCTAAGAACATGTTGAATGGTTTCCCCATAAATAAATGATAAATATTTGAGGAGATGCACATTTAACCTGTTGTAAACATTACATAATGTATTCCAATATTGAAATATCATGGTACCCCACTAATATGATATTTTATATTTTTATGTATCAGTTAAAATACATTTAATTTTAATTTAGAAAACATGAAAGATGACAAGTGGTACTGAGGATGGAGAGAAAAGAGAACCAATTGAATCTTGACTGAACAATTTTATGAGAATATGGGCAAATTATTTCAGTTCTGAGTCTCAGTTTCTCTTTCTAGAAATAGGAGAATATTAAATAAATTATAATATTGAAAATATTGATTGAAAATCAAGCAATTTAATGTAAGAAAAGTTGCATGCTCAGCACAAGACATGCAGTAAGAACTCAAGACATCATAGTATCCTATTCTCAAGAAAGGCACATGCACCTCTTGGATTTAGCGGTTTTCCTCTCTAATCAGAATAATATTATTTTCAGAGATATATACACAGAAGATACCTTGAGAGAGGTCCAGCTTGAAACATAAATACAGGGAAGACAGTTCAAATCTTGAACTTAAGTAGTACATTTCTGTACTCTCAGGAGAGAAGTTGGGCTTCCCACCAAATGTTGAATTCACAGCTTTTTATTTAAAAAAAAAAAAAGAAACTGTAACTGAAGGATCCTGTCAAAAGCCTGCTGCTGATACCTAATTTATGGTCAATTAGAGAAGCATCAGGGCTTCATCCCATGCAAACAGATGGCAGACATTAGAACTGTCAACACAAGGAGCTTCCTTCACAAATTTACAAGCTAGGTACCATGTTACATAAGACAGTGATTATGCTTTATCATTCCAGAGGGAAAGCAAAAGAACATTATTGTAACTAATCATGCATGTCAGAATTTTTTTTAAAGAAATGCTCATTCACAAACACAAAAATGATAAACAGATACATGGTTTATATAAAAAAAAACTTTCTCTGAGGATTGGTTTCTCACAGTTTCTCTTAGTAACCATCTGTAATGTTTCCAAAACTTGTGAAAACGATCTAAAAATCTAGTGTAATGGAACAATCTAATAATAAATTGCTTCAATGTATAAAAAAATGAGTACCTGTAGTGTCCTTATTTTAGAATCCTTGAAAAGAAGTAAATACCAAAGTAGACTGCATTCGATAATCAATTATGCAATGATTACCTCTATATTGTCATGGGAAGCTAGAAATTCTATTAAGATTTTTTTTTGACACATTGAGGACTGTTCTGGTCATTGTCAAGGACAGTAACTTCTACCTACTAGTAAATCATAAGGAATATCACCTTAATCCATAATTACTACCCTGGTATTCTGATTCCCCTTGACTCCAAGGATAGCTGAGATCTTTCCTTAAACCCACATGAAAGGAGGTGACATCTGGCAAAGAACATGACCAGCATCCATTCTGTTGGTCAATTTTGGTGCCATACTGGCCACTGCTTATGTTGACTCTAACCTCTATTAATATCAAGCTAAAATGACATCAACAATGGTTTTCAAACTTTTGTGTTAACAAGGTCATTGTTTCAACAAAATGAATTATAAAGAACATAGGGACTTTTCTGACTGTCATGGGGATAGGATACCGCCACAACCAGGGATCTCCCTTCTGTCTCCAAATAACTTCAAGTGGTTCCTCAGACCCTCCATGGAACCCCAGGAAACCCAGAATGATTTTATACATACACCATATGACAGATATAAGGTCCTTTCCATCAGTGACACTGATATTTTAGCATTTCTTGGGAGCATTGTGTTATTCAGACAAAATCTAGGAGGTGTAGAACAGGAACTAGCTTAGAGGAAATGCATTGTGCTGGAGCATAAAAATTATGAAATTAGGAGGGACTGACAAACAAGATTGTAGGGCATCGCAAATGGCAATCTCAGAAATTAAGGTATCTCTATGGACCGGGGTGGGGGGGTATGACTATAGTTCAAGTACTTTACCTCCCAGAGCTATAGTTGCCTGACTGTGATAGACATATTTATACCATATGTTTAAAAGAGTACCAACACTTTCACCACCAGACTAATGGTAAGGGAGCATCTCATAATTCCAAGGCTGGTCACAAAGCCCATAAGCAGACAGGTTACCAAGAAAGTTGGACATAGAGGAAAAGTCACTAGAATTAGCAAAGACTATTTCTCAGCACCCAAACTGGTACTGAAGTATTAAAACTGGGCACTTTTAA